TAAATAAAATATTACAAATTACAGTACTGTATACTAGTACTATACTAGAATACTAGTACTATATACATATATAGGCACACACAGACACATATACACACACACACGTATATGTGTGTATATATACAATATATATATATATATATATATATATATATGTATGTATATGTATGTGTGTGTGTGTATACATACATATATGCACACACACATATACCGTATATACACATAGACACACACGTGTGTCTGTATATGTACAATTCGATTTATTAGCACCTAAACACATTATGTGATGAAATTGTGCATATTTAAATTGTACAAAATAAAATGATTTAAAAAAATAATTTTAGCAATAAAATATCTAAATGCAAAAATTTTAAAATAATAAATTGTAGTTCTAGTACATATACAAAAACATACATTTTATATATATATATATATATATAATACATTTACAGTTCAGTTTATTAACACTTATCACGTGTGATAAAATGTTTCAGTTTTACAGTTCATCTCTCACAGTAATACAATAACTAAAATCTATTTTACAGTAGCTATAATTCTGTGTTTTTGGCTGAAAGGTTACAATTTAGAAATGTGCTTGTGTTACTTAGGTTTTATTATCTTAGGTTACTTTTGTATGTTTTGTTTATCATCACATCTTCCCCAAGGAATAGAAGTGCATTCTATGTGGTTTCACCATCAAAAGGTTTTTCTTGCGTCACACGCTCCTGTTTAGCTTTGGTGACCAAAAGCAGATGCTCTGTAATTGGACAAGCTGTTTAGAATGAAGCTGACGACGATAAACAGACGGAGTCGAAGTGAGTGTTTGGCACTTTGCTTTAGGGGCTCGTGTAATAATCGCCTCCAACTAGGAATACTAGAATAAACTTTTCCATGACAGCTGCCATAAGCACTCATAATTCTACTTTAAACATCGAATGACATCTGTCGTGACCACTAATGAGTTAATGAATTACGTTCATTATGTAATATTTTGGAAATAACATTGTACATTGTCACAGAATAAAACAATCATTGCTGTCATTCAGGCATTTTGCATTTTACCAAACTATTTTTGTGACCACCTTAGTGTGGTTATCAGGTTTTAAAGCATCAAGAACAGATCTGTTAAAAATATCTGCACCCATTGCCCTTGGATTAATCAATAGCATATTCAGTCCCTGAGTCTTTGGCAACAGTAGAACAGGTGTTTCTTACCTTGAAAGACGTGGGAAAAAAAGTCCTCCAGTCCCGAGCGCTCGGTGCAATCATGAAATAGCCGAATGTTGTCTGAGACCAAACAGGGAGCACTGTACTGCAGCCGGAGCGGGGCCGGGGTGGGGTAGACGGCACACGGCATCCCTCAGAAAAATCTTAACAAGGTTTGTCGTTTAATGGTTTAACTTTTCCAATGATGCATGTAACGGGGGGCAATTATACTAAGTGATTTATTGTACCCAGGCTGCAGTTAAATTTCAAAACATTTCATCGTGGCACAATCCAATCCTTGTAAACAAACAGAAAATAAACATTGCCGTATTTTCCCCTCCTGGGCTTTCGGCATTATATTTATGTCAGGCCAGAAGTGCCAAGTAAATCAATCAACCAGACGCCTGACAGTTTGGAGGTCCGACCGAAGGCTGAAGTTAAAGCATGTTTATGGGCAGGACTGGGGCCCATAATGCCTATATTTAGGGCCGTACCAAAGTCCCGACGATTAATCAATAGCATATTCAGTCCCTGAGTCTTTGGCAACAGTAGAACAGGTGTTTCTTACCTTGAAAGACGTGGGAAAAAAAGTCCTCCAGTCCCGAGCGCTCGGTGCAATCATGAAATAGCCGAATGTTGTCTGAGACCAAACAGGGAGCACTGTACTGCAGCCGGAGCGGGGCCGGGGTGGGGTAGACGGCACACGGCATCCCTCAGAAAAATCTTAACAAGGTTTGTCGTTTAATGGTTTAACTTTTCCAATGATGCATGTAACGGGGGGCATTTATACTAAGTGATTTATTGTACCCAGGCTGCAGTTAAATTTCAAAACATTTCATCGTGGCACAATCCAATCCTTGTAAACAAACAGAAAATAAACATTGCCGTATTTTCCCCTCCTGGGCTTTCGGCATTATATTTATGTCAGGCCAGAAATGCCAAGTAAATCAATCAGCCAGACGCCTGACAGTTTGGAGGTCTGACCAAAGGCTGAAGTTAAAGCATGTTTATGGGCAGGACTGGGGCCCATAATGCCTATATTTAGGGCCGTACCAAAGTCCCGACAATGCCAACTGTGTGTGACAGCGCAATATCGGCCGATTTGCCCCTTAATTTATAGTTTGTTCAATTAACCGCACGTAGTAGCCAGATGTCAATTTTCAGAGCGCAGGAAATTGCACCTCAGGACTGCTAATATGGCTGCCTTTTCCACTGCGCCGTGGACCCCATGTAAGACCTAGGCTAGGTTAGACCCTCTTTTTTTTCGAGTTGACAACACGCACTTTATCATCTCCCTCGGAGAGCTCTCGTCTCCGGGGGTTCGGGCTAGGCCAGTGAAAGAGGGTTTCTTCAGCCATGTATTTATTTGTTTATTTTGCTGTCATGGTCTATGACTAAGGCTCTGAAAGAAAATGCAGTAGTATTCACGGCCTATGAGGAGGACTGGTCAGGCAGTATTCATTTTACCATGACAAATCTATATGGCCAAACACAGTCCTGTGTGTTCCAGATGACCGTAGACTACATTCATCCACACCTCTCCCCTTCACCCCACACGACTGTGCTGACACAAGTAGTGTGAGCTTGGAGAATTAATGGTAGTGTAATGGGCTTCCTGTCATTTCAATCAGGACTTTTATTTTTGGTTTATGTAAGTTTAAGATGCATTTGATAAGTCTGATATTGCATATCTTTTACACACTACAGTTTTGATTATAAACAAGTTGATGAATTTGCAAAAGCAAAGCAAAAACTATTATGCCCTGCCTACACTGAAAAAAAAATTGGTGAAGAAACAGTTTTACTTACACTATTACAAAAATGGCAAATAGCACATTGAAATTTTGAAGTAGGAAGACTAAAATAGTATTTTCTTGAAATAATTTTTTACAGTGTATGTGTAAAATATATATTTTTCATATTAATTCATGTAGTCAATATGTGCATGATTTTTTTTTAACTGCAGGAGGTTTCTGGAAGTAAAAATCCTGGTCATTATCTCCATAGAGAAATTGATTTTCAGCAGTAACACATAAACCCTTTAGGACAGAGCTACCATGAGCTCAGAGGCTGTTAAATTATGATATATGATTCTGTAGAAGCCACAAGTGTGAATTTAACTTTATTTCAGAAAAATAGCTATACTTCTGGTGAAGAGCCACAAAGCTAGTTTATCTAGCTTTTCTTTGTATCTTGTCTGTGTTCGCGTCCCCTTTCTTTCAAATTCTGGTTGTTTTTCTATTGGTTGATTGGTCGTGTTGTTTTGGTGACTGTTTTTTTCTAGGTTCATGTTGGCCTTCTTGCTAAGTTTTGATGAGTTCATGTTCTGTGTAAACCATCTTCTGTTTATTTGGTTCTGCTTTGTTTGATTTTTGTTGCTTTTAGTTTTTTTAAAATGGGTTTAAAACTTTTTTTTAGCTTGAAAGCCTTTTTGTTACACTACCCATATTACTCAAAAAAGATAAACCAATCAGAAACTGCTGTTACTATGTAAATACAAATTGCTGCTCCCTACACTCTCAAAATACATATATATTTTGCAATAAAGTAAAAATATAGTGTTAATATAACAAAGTCATTCATTACATATTGTACTGTAGTTTTTGTATTTCATTTAGTCAATCTCAAAGCTTCATGGAATGAAGACTTCATTTCCTTATAAATTAATTTTAAAGTATGTAATCTGCCATCTGTTTTCAAATATTTTTGCTTCCAAACAAAGTTTATAATGTTGTATTCATCTCAGAGCTGGTTGGTTTGGTTCAAGGCCAATAGAACACTTTATTGAAAAATATTTTACTGCCCACAGAGGAAATGATTATAAATTTTTTTTTGAAAAAAATGGATGACCAGTGTTGTGGTCTATTGTACAAAAGCACAAATGTATAATAAATTTTTATTTCATAGCAGAGAACCTGTATTTTCTACACTATACAGGTCTGAAGTAAGACATTGTGACTTTACACCTCACCTTTAGACTGAAATGCAAATATCCAGAAGCTACAAAAAACATACTCATTGGAATAAATGAAAAGTCTCATTACCAGACCTCTGTGTTGTGTTTCAGTTGTCAGTTTAGAGAGCAGAGATGCCCATCTCTCAATGCTGGTGCAGGAAGCTCAAAGGAGAGCCAGCGAGCTGTCCACCCAGGTGATGAGAGAGAGTCTCAGCCTGGAAACATCTGACAAGGAAAAACAGCTCAAATCTTGGGAGTGGAGATGCAAACTCTACAAGCGAATGCGCACGGGATTCGAGCATGCACGTAAGTCAAACCCTAGTCTGCTTCTGATGCCTAACCTCTCAGGGGATAAAAAGGTCATTCATATGCTATGCTACAATACAATACGCATTGAACTGGCCTTATTTACTATCAGTCCTGTCTAATCTATCAGCATCTCTGCAGAAAGGTCATCTGTTCCTATATTGGCCCCACCTGTTCACTTTATTGGAGTGGGAAGACTCTGCAAACAAGCCACTATGATCATTTGTCCCACAGATATTAATATCAGGTTGATTGGCCTGAAATGACTCTTGAGCTGTCAACACACACAATAGTGTCCCTCTCACCCTCCTGTCATATTGATTACTCGTTATATCAGGCGAGTTTCGTTGGCTTCTCTTTGTAAACAACCTCAAGTGAAGGCAGCCGTGATAAATCAGCAACGCTTTGCCGCAGACACTCTCAAAAATAAGATTGCCGAGAAATACTCAGAGGTATCTATGAAAAGTATTTCAGGAAACACAAGGGCACCATTAGCTGGGCTGTGTGCTTTGGGTTACAAGTACAAAATGAAGGTGCTAACAAGGCGATGGAACTGCATAAACCGTGCATGTACATATAAATGGACATAAAAAGGACAGTGTTCAGCCAAACAAAATACAGCTAGATTCACAGTTTGCGTTCTTAAATAGAGATACATTTACTTAAGAAACAAAATGACGTAAGATATCAAGTCTTGTTTTCTGAAACATTTATCAAAATGAGTTTATTCTTAAAACTAGAAAAAAATATCTGTGGGGTTAGAAAAAAAGCATAAACTCACAATTTGGATACATTTTATTTCAAGCAAGTGTATCTTGATTTAAGAATATTTAGATACCAGTACTGGAAAACGAGACAAAATACTAGTAGATGTTTTCATGTAAATATTAAACAAAAATAGAACAAATGTGTGGTCACATACAGATGATTTTTTTTTTCATTGTGTATTGCACAATTACACTGTTGTCAATAATGTAGCAATATATAATGCACAGCTCACACAGTCACTTCCAAACCAAGCGTTTTTGTGTTGTTGAACACAGTGAATTCGCATGACCAACTTGATTCCAACATGAAATCTGCGTTGAAAAATGCTCTTACGCAAAATGGATTTCTATTGAAATGAGTGGATTCCCCCTCAAAAAGTTTGCCAAGCACTGGTAAATGTGACCACACCTTCAGAAAATACATTTTTGCAGTGTTTTCCACTGCTTTTGGATTTCCTTTGGGCAGACAGTCCATTTAAACCAGTGGTCGCCAACCCGTCGATCGCGATAATCAAATCAAAAACAACTGCCCGTGCAGATCATGATTAAAATGCAGTGGTTGCCTCTAATTTCAAATGGCTAGATATTTTTGTTTAAAGCCAGTTTGTTTGTTATAAAGCAAATAGCCAATAAATAAATTTGCTTAAAAATCGGTATCAGAATCCAATTTGCTAGTTAAAAAAGAAAAGAAAATCTGAATTCTGAATCAGCTGTGATCGGAGCATCACTAATTAAAATACTAAGTAAAAGGCCTCAAATTTGAAGTACAATCTGGGATGTCTTTTTCTATCAGTTCTTCAATAGGTAGATCTTGTCTTTCATAAAGGCCGAGGTCAGGGATCTTGGGCCTAAAAAGGTTGGTGACCACTGATTTAAACTGACAGCAGGTCAACAGAAAAGCAATAAACAGATATTACATTCCACCTGTGAAGGACAATAGGATGTCTATTTAAAGGCGTAAGCAATTTCAGACTTTATTTTCATTAATAGTAAAAATATATGGTCAGTTGAGCCACTTTTGTGTGCAGACATTCAAACGCTACTCCCCATCTTCCATTAGTCTGCCTAACAGATATTGCCCCAAATACATAGCTAATGCTGCTGAGTCGGGCTGGTTGAGATGCTCAGACAGAGCAGAATGTTTTGATGTTGGTACAATGTTCATACTTACGGGGAGTCAACCTGCAAATGGATCACTTATTAGTTGTCTTTGCATATTAAGTCTTTTATAGGAATATATTATCATCAAAAATTACACATTATTTGTATTTATGGTTATTTAATTATCAACAGCAATTGTTCTCCACTCCCTACAGTAAAAGCACAATGCAAGCAAGCTATGTGCAAGTTATGCTATGTGACCTTTGAATTGGCTCTTTCAGGACCACCAGAGGCTCCGTTGATGGTGTGTCTTAGTGTGACCGGCAGCACGTCTCTCACTGTTAGCTTTCAGGAACCTGCCAGCATGAACTCGGCTGTAGTGACCAAATACAAAGGTCAGTGCAGCCTTAATGCGCATTTGTCTGTATTACACACGCATATACCAGATTGCCTTGAGAAAGAGTGGTTTTTTTTTTTCAATTGTTTTTTTATTATGCAAAATATAGAAAAATTACAACTTTCCCACCCCAACATATTAATTTAATTTAATATTTCATTTAATTATTTCATTAAAATTAAGTAATTTCATTTAATTAACAATTAAGTAAATTAATTACATACATTTTTTAAACCGATAAGAGATTTGTTCATATTGTTCATCATTTAACATTCCAGATTACTTAACTAACAAATTGTTTGAAAGGGGTGGAGAAGAAGTGTTTATTACTTTTACTTGCAGCTACACCTATTTTTAACAGATGATAAACAGGTGAACAAACCCATTGAATTAAATTGGGGCCAAGCCATATCTAGGCATCTGAATATTATAGATTATGAGATTTGGAGATGGGACCTTTTATCCATAGAGATATGTATTAGTGAGCAGCCACCCTAAACCCTCCTAGCAACCACGCTCAACAGCCTAGCAATGTGGTGCAGAGTTTTGCATGGACAAAACCACTCACGTTTTCTAATATAGGTATCTAGTTATTCAAGATATAATGTTGTTGTAGCTGTAATTCCTGTAGATGACATTATAATGGTCCAGTTTCATTCTGTCCTATTTAGTTTCTTTAGACTCCACTCATTTATTGATGTTTTCAGCTTTTAACTCGGTTTAATGTGTGATGACGTCTATTGCAGTGGAATGGAGCTGTTTGAAGGACTTCTCTTTATTAGCCGGAGAGATGATCCTCGAGAATCTGCAGTCCCTGAAATGCACAATATCAGGTCTTACCACGGTAAAATAAAATTATAGCTCCACTGTTATTACAGCTTGTTGTTGTGTAGTAAATAATTTCTGAGATATTTTTCTGTTTGTTACAGGGTAGACAATACAACGTTCAAGTCTCCGCCTACAATATGAAAGGCTGGGGTCCGGCACAACTCTCTCAACCTCCCTCTGCTGTTCCCTCCAGTAAGTTCTGAAAAGCAGCCACAGTTCCCAAGGACCGCATTAAAGGATAATTTATAAAAAAGCATACTACAGCTCCAAACATCATTGTCTGGAAAGTTTTTGAACCTTTGAGCATTGTGTCGGCATAGTTTTGTGCTTCTAATTCAAATATCATGTCTGTTATAAGGAGAGAAAATTGTATTGATTGTAGCCAACATCCTTGGATGTAGGACTGCGCTATTATTTAACCATCACGACTTCTACTCACCCTGCCGCCTTTCATACTCTCTGGATCTGGCCTTGAGTTTCAGCTTTCAAATAAACGCTGCAAAGAAAAACGAACTGTGTCACAGGGAGACAAGTTTTGCATCAGTAACCAATCCAGCATTATAAAACTGCATGTACGCAATGCAGACACAGAGAATTGTTTGGGTGAAATGAAGATTTTATAAAATTGATTTAAAAGAGAATTTACAGCTGTCCTTCCTTCTAGTTTTTAAAAAAAATCTTTATAATACATTGTGTTCAAATGACCCTCTCTTGGTAATGAGTCACTCACTATTCAGTAAGTGCCCCAACAACGTCTCGCCTTATTTTTTTATTATTTTGGGGTATTTTAGGATTAAGATTGGCTCTTTTTTGTGCAAGTCTGACGGAATCAAATGAAATGTCTTGTGACATCTAGAACATGTCACAAAACTGAGTTTTGTGTAATATTTCTCTTTATTAGACTGGAAGGACTGCGATGGGAGAGAGAGCAGGAGAGGTCACATTGAGGCTATGGAGAGGCTTTTACAACAGGTTCGAGCCACACACCAGCACTTCTGCTGTGGAGGTACACACACACACACACACACAGAGATCACTAACATATCTAAGTGTAAGCACACTATCACACTATCTTTTATTTAAATAATTGTAGACAAAAATGAGATTGGGATCGAGAAATGATGTGATGTAGCAAGACACTGGAGCACATGTGATGTCTCCTGTGAGATACTTTAGTGGATTTACATTATCTTATGTGATGTCAGTGTAGGATCACACATGTAAAATATCTAAATTTATTGTTCAGAATGTTGAATCATTTTATTCAGATAATGTGCATTAAATAGACATTTAATTTAATAAAATTTTTATTTCAAAGAAATGCTGTTCATACTTTCTATTCATCAAAGAATCTGAATGAGAAAATATCATGGTTTCCACAAAAACATTTTTTCCAACATTGATAAAAATAAGTAATGGCTACTGAAAATTCTGCTTTTCCATCACAGGAATGAATTATAATTCTAAAATATATTAAAATAGAAAACAGTTATTTAAATTGTAATCATATTTCACAAAATTACTATTTTTACTTTTTTTGGTAAGCATTAGAGATTTCAAAAAAAAAAAAAAATAGTGCATTAGTGTGTTTTAAACATATTTCAGTTTTATGAGCTTGGATTGATTAAACAATTATACTCAGAATGGTCAACATCCCCATTTGTCTTAAAGCAACATATTTATTATTCCTGATATCAACCCGGTCCTCCTACCTGCCTTCAGAACATAATAAATTGTCACAGTTGCGTAGGTGTATTTAATCATATTTGAAAGTTTCTGTAATATCTCTGCTCTCCCATGTGAGCCTGAAAAACTATTACACTATAAATGGTTCAAAACATTGGGAATCTCATCCTCGCTGCATGATCAGTGGTGCGGGGACAAATTTTAGACCAGATTAATTCTAAGTGATTAAAGGGGTCATATGATGCTGCTAAAAAGAACATTATTTTGTGTATTTGGTGTAATGAAATGTTTATGCGGTTTAAGGTTCAAAAAACACATTATTTTCCACATACTGTACATTATTGTTTCTCCTCTATGCCCCGCCTTTCTGAAACGCGTCGATTTTTACAAAGCTCATCGGTCTGAAAAAGCGAGGTGTGCTCTGATTGGCCAGCTATCCAGTGTGTTGTGATTGGCCGAATTCCTCAAGCGTGTGACGGAAATGTTACGTCCCTTACCATATTGTGATGATTGCGGCAACCACATGTGACGACTCCGGGCTGGACCCCGCTTCATCCACGGTGAAAGCCGATCCGGCGATCGACAACACAAAGTTGAAGTATTTCCTCAGACCATATATATATATATATATATTAGGGCTGTCAGTTTAACGTGTTAACTTAATAATTAGTTATGAAAAAAAAGGCGATTAAAATATTTCAACCCAGTTAACGCACTGGCCCCGCCCCCAGACCTGTATGTCATCTTACATTTCATACAGTTGACTGTTGACAAATATGAAGCAGGGCAACAACTCCGTAAATGCAGTTATGTCATAGGTATGTGGGGGCGTGTTAGAACGAGCCGTTTTAGGTAGGCGTGGCTGACTCTTAACTTTTATAAAGAATATCTCTTTGGATTTGAGACTTTAGTCTTTGCAACTTTACAGATCTTCTTTAAGCACCAAGAGCTTGTAACACTCCAAAGAGAAAGGAAAAATTGAAATCGCATCATATGACCCCTTTAAGTGATTCTACACAGTCCAGTCACGAACTAAACTTTTCATAAATTGGCATCATTCTTGCATGGCTTATAAGTCCTTGTAGACAACCCACACATTTTTAACAGAAAGATGTGATATTCAGCTGATATATTTTAATATTAATAATTAATACAGATTTGTGATGCTTGATTGCCTAATTAATTTATATATATATTTTGTGTGTGTATATATATATATATATATATATACACATGTAAACTGAAATCATATTTATTTTTATTTTCTGTCAGTACAGTAGTTGTAGTAGTTCATTTACCGCCACCTGCTGGCAGTTTTAGTTTCTTATTTAGAGTATTATTTCATTTTAAAAAAAGAAAAAAAGAGAAAAAAAAACTTTAAAGGGATAGTTCACCCCAAAAAATGTAATTAGGTCATCATTTACTCAAACAAAAGAAAGTAAGTCATTCAGGTTTGAGTCAAACAAAGCTGTTCCTTTGACCTCATGGCTTGGTTTTCACTTTGTCATTATGAGGTACGGAGTGTAGATTAATGAGAAAAAAATGAATTTAAACAATTGTAGTTCCAGGCTGCAACATAACAAAATTGAAAAAAGTGAAGGGGGTCTGAAAACTTTCTGAATGCACTGTGTGATTATATATATATATATATATATATATATATATAGAGAGAGAGAGAGAGAGAGAGAGAGAGAGAGCGAGAGTTAGACAGAGTTTGCACTGATTGCTTGATTTTTAAAATATGCATATATCTATCTAAAAGTAGGCTGTATATCCTCTGAATCAGAGCAGGAAGTTCTGTTGTGAAATTCACCAGATGACTTCATCCTCATCATCTGTTTTTTTGCTCAGCTGGTGCTCTTTTATTTGCTTTCTTTTTTGTGTTTGGTCTTTCCCTCGTCTGTCTCTCATAATGCTCTCACTCTCATCATCTCTTTCTCTCTGCCCATTTCTCTCTCACTTCCACCCATCTGCCCACTCACAAGAAATCCCTCCCGTAACCCTCTCGTCTTCTAAGTCCGCACTTCTTCCAGTAGATTAATTTTGTATTAAAGTGACGAAATGAAGCATGGGCAAAGTGTTTTGACTCAAGTATGGCCATCCAGAGCAGTATGAATACGCTCTCTCAGCATTCCTGCTGCCTGCCCTCCTACGCTGTTCACGCGAGTAAGGGGAGGAGGACATGTAAATAAATAATGTTTTAATACATTTATCCATTTTAAATTTTAACATCTATGTGTCAAACATGTCGTCCGTATAGTGCAGCACTGTAAATCACAGGGCTCGAGCACAGACACCTTTAAAATGAGGCAGGCTGGACGTAGCGTGAAGCATAGACAGTCTGCTTTGGCCTCAAGCCCACTCTCTAACCCAGAGGCTGGCTGCCGAGGTATAGAAGAACGCTGTTCCTGGTGCTGACAGTACTGCGCTGCTCACAAACAGCAGCTTCATTAGCCAACTATGCAGCCAGCCACAAGCAGGAGAGAGGTGAGCAAAAAAACGATATCACTCATCTGTTTAGAAGTCAACACTAATGATGTCAGAACGATGGCTGCCAGTGTCACAAATGAATTTATTGAATTGATTCTACGAGAAAAACACTGTATGAGAGTTTTTATT